CTAACTATTGACTCTAAATGGAAACTAAGGTGAGAACAAAATGTCAGACTTCACTTGGGCACCAGAGTTCGAGCCGAGCAGGACCCTGCACCCGAATGACGATGCCTCAGCGCAGGAGTGGCCTGACCACGACCAATCCGTCTCACGGAGCTTACGCACTGCACCTGGGAATGGAACAGGAACAGCCCCAGCGACTGACGAGACAGGCCACCCGAGATACAGGACCACAACTCTTTTCTCCCTCCGGTACTCGAGCAAAGTCTGACTGTAAACTACTATTCGCGGCGCGGGTATACTAAAACGCGAGCAAAATGGATTGACTGAAACGAGAGAGAGGGATGAAGTTAAATTCGCTCCGTTATAGGGTGGAATTTAGGAAGGCATACTGCACACTAGTACCGGTACCGCACACGCATACGATTCGCAAGGGATGGGAAAAGGGGTGTCTCGACCGGCCTTAATGCCGATCGAGTGACTCGAGGAGCGCCGGGGCTCTGCACTTATACCCTCTCGGGGATCGACAGTTGACCAAGATGACCAATCCTAGGGGGTGGGTACTTAAAGTCAATTGGTTATTCCCTTTGGAATGACCCAAAAAATCCTGCCCGATTATCGATAAATGCGGAAGTAAACGAATATGCAAATCAGGAGCCGAGCCTTTTAAGAATCGGCCAATCATTTTGCGCAGACGTCATTTTTTCGGGTCCGCGCGTTAACACAGGCGTTGCTACTCTTTAATAATCCCTCCTCGGTGTACATTTTTAAACTATTAGAGAATGCCACTGATAAATTTTAAAATAGTCTCGAGGAGGAGAATTAATTTTTATAAAATAGACTCAGGAGTGAAATGTATAAGTAATGGAATCAATTTGTTGATTCAATATTTTATTAAGGCGATAGACTGCAACATCGGCGATATAAGTCAGACTGTCAATGTTACCCAGAAAATTAGCCAAAAATATGGATTTGGAAGAAGATTTATAGGTCGCGAATTATTTCTTTGGGAAGAAGACAGTTAAATCTGGCCGGATCTGATTACATAATCTACGTACCTAGAAAAGCTCAGGTCGTTCTGTCCGATTTTAAAAAAGTTATTCAACGTTAAACAGCGCCTGTCTAGTTCTGTTCTTGACTGTTCATACGACGTTAAAATACAATTTCCTTTAAGAATACCTTCTGTGAAATACTATCATCACATTTTTATGCGTAATCTTGCTGCCAGGATTCCTTTGGAATCGTGTAAGGCCAAACAAGACTGTGCACACAGATCCGAGCTGTGCTTAACATGGGAATGCGCCTATTCGAATAGCGATGAAACGAGAGAAGCAAGCGAAAAAAGAAACGGGTCGTCGTTTTATACGCGGATCCTCTGCGATTATGCAAACGGCATCGCATTAAAATGCAACTCATCGGAACGTTCGACGTACCGGTGGGATACTACGCCTTTCGAGCGTTGCATTGCACTGCGCCAGATCTTGTAATCGCGAGAATTCTTCCGCTACGCCGCTTCCTTAAACGATTATTATCGTCGCTTCAACTCAGAGAGGAATCATCGTCCCGACGATATTTTTTATGAAAGGAGAATGCATTGTAACTGTACCCGTGATACTCTTACATTAGATAGATTCTTACATTAAATAGACTCTTAACCGAGACGAGTGCTGCCTGCTTTCCTCGTCTTGTCTGTCTCGCGAAATTATTATACTTTTGCGAGTGGATATGGGCATTCGCGAATTTACGGCTGGTAAACTCAATTCGAAACCGAGCGTTGCAAACTATTCTCGCCTTGCTTCGACTGAAATATACTGCAAGTATTAGAATTCGAAAGAAATTAGAAAACAATATAATTCAACAAATCAATGAACGGTCAGAAAATGATATATATTAAACATTTGATAAGAAGGATTGAGCTTTTTTAAGTATAACAGAAAATAACGATGAATAACAAGCATAGGAACATGTGTGATATATAAATGACTGAGGAAAGATATTAAACATTTAATACAGTAATTGAATCTTTGTTCTGCAATCGTATCTATGATTGATTAGAAAATGAATTTTAATACTGACTGTCAAATAAAATAATTAATCCTTTTAATTACACAGTTTATGATAATATATTTTCATATTTTATTAGCCTACATTCTGTTAACTATTTTCCGAAATACCACAGCCGAATACCAGCCAATATATCCGTCACCCTGATCCGGGTGACACAGCGCATTGAAAATTTTATGCGTTATCTAAATTTGGATGACATGGTAGTCAACCCGTTAAAACGGATACCGTCTCTCGTTCATCGATTATTGTCGATGTAGGATCTGATCTTACGAATGCTTCTTTTGAAACATCGTCCAAGAGGAAATAAGGTAATAATACTTACTTGTACGGGCCGTTCTTATACGATCGAACGAGGCGGCTGCTTTGCACGTGCGTCCATGACGGGGAAATACGAGCTGTCAGAGAACAGACGTCCTGGCCGAGACGTCTAACGTCATAGCCAATGCCGAGATCGCGTAATTAACAGGATATATCCTTCCCAAATCCTCCCCCTCTCTTGCCCGTGTCTCCGAGGCCGGCAACGACGGCAACGGGAACCGACGCGGGGTTTCCACGTCTCGCAAAGGGGGATTGAGATCGCGTTACGCTGCTGTCGCTTACAGGAACCACTTGGTAAAGCCGCTTAAGACGACTACCAAGATTGATTAGAATCTCCCGACTCCCCTTTGACCATGGAGTCAATTGTTTTTGAATTGTAATCCCTTTGATGCGCGTCCACCCTCGCAGATCTTGACGGGGACATGCACTGAACTTTACAAGTATTAGGGAAACCTGCAATTGTTCGAGAAATTAATTCTCGAGGGATAGATGTCTGTACTTTCGAGACCGCGCATCGACAGCACCGCGAGACGCCGAGTATGAAGAAGGGACAAACTACAAGAAACTGTTAATGGACTTCTTCTCGTTGCGTCGTCTCAAATTCCTTCGAGAATTACTTTCTCGAACAGCAATTAAGTCATATTATTGTAGGAAAGATAAAATTTTGAAGGGAAACCATAGAAATTTTCTTTACACCTAAAACTGTTTAATAGTAAAATAAATTTTTTATCAGGGATGGAAGTACCTCGTAAAACGGGTTCGAGTTTTTATTGATTGAATTCAAATTTCGAAGTCAAAGGAAGAAATTATGTTTATTATTAGATTAGAATGGTTATAATTGATAACCAGAATTTTACATTACCTTTGATGAAATTGATTCAGACTCGTGAGTACATATTGAATTTGAACCCACCCCTGGTCTGCACGTATGACACGACTCTTTATATCCTTGAAACGATATGAATTTTTGATCAAGTGTTAGAATAAAGAACGGACTAGACATTCGAATCATTCTGGTTTCGAGCACAATAGCTCGATAGCAGAATAGTCCGGCGATGAATGACGCGACTCCGATGGAAAAACGTGGTTAATAATAGAAAACTGAAATCTGAGGGAAGGGAGACTCTTAAAATTCTGGCGCATGCCGACGTGATTAAAAGTACCGCTGAATCTTTCAGGCTCGCTTAATAGAAGCCCGCGAAAAAATTGATTTTTCGTCCCCGACCCCTTACCCGCTTTGTTTTCCTTTCATCATCCCCCGTTCTAATTTTTTTCAGAAATTGAAATATCGATAGCTTTAATTTTTAAGTGCTGATACTATCCAGGAACTCAACTTGCGAAATCGTTCTTTATTAACTGGTTAGCTGCGGTGACTCTCATTGNATTTATTTCTATTTTTAATTTATTATTTCGTCTTGGCTTCAAAATATTTTAAACATATTGAAACGAATATATTTTAGTTCCTAATTTTTACCATTGACTACTTAAATTGCAATTTATTACTTTTAATAATTTTTAAAGCAATTTATTATTTTCACTAATAATTACTTTTGACACACGACGAATATAGAAATATTGTCTCTCATCCGTGACGAGTATTCTCGTCAATCACAGCTAATTGGTCAAATAATATTAACTGGTATTTATAAAATTGCTGCAAATATAATTATTATTTGTGACCTAATTATACCAGTGATTTGTTGTGAAAGCCGCGGGTGTTTAAAATCACCGAAAACAGTTCTTAGCGTTGTACTTATACCGTGACAGGGCGGAGGCAGGAAGAAGGAGGAGGGAAAGTTTGATCGGTAACGTTATTAAACCGGCAAGTTCAACACGATATTTAAGGTCCGGAAACTCGGAAGTTCGCATCGCGGCAGCCAACTTCCGGTGAAATTACAATATTAAATTGCGCAGAGATTAATTCCTGGCCTGAACGCTTTTACATGTATTTTTACTCGAGATTTGTCTGCGGGGTAAATCGGACGGTCCGAAGAAAAACATGGTCGGGTAAGTGGTTGCATCGAATAATTACTTACCCGTTCTGCACGTCCAAACGCGTCTGAAATTTCCGAATGAAGTCTGCATTTATTTCAGATATCACGCATCAAATTAAAGTGAACGTTTCGAAAAGACTTGTCACTATAAATAAAATCTTATGACCAAACTCTGCGAATTTTAATTGAAAAACAGAACAGAAATATTAATTTCTTAGAAAAATGAAGCAATCTACTTCATGCTGAGTGAAGTGGGATTTGGATCTTTTTTAGGGTTCGAGTTAACTTATCGTTTTCGTCGACAGAGTTTTTCATTTTTCTCCAAAAAAGAAGACACTTACAAGTGTACAGGTGTGCATCCTGGAAACTTTCGCAGAAGTACATGCGTACGAAAAGCATAATTTACAAAATATGCCTCCTTCCACACGCACACTTATTTCTTCTCGCTTCTCGTAAAAAAATCTGTCGCTGACCAAATTCTATCGCGAGGAACTGTGGCTCGGAAAATCGCGAGTTCGCTCTTCACCTTGGAACAATTTCGCAATGAATAAAACCGTGCAAATTATTCATCAACATTCGTGCGATAAAATATACAACTGTACAAATAAAATAGTTTTAGAAATATCTCAAATCAAATAACAATTTTTATATAATTATACAAATAAAATAGTTTTAAAAAATCTCAAATCAAATAACAATTTCTACATAGTTATTTAAACACAGTATTGTACCCTTCTTTCCAAACATAATTCGCCCACAAGGGATAGAAACTTGACGTTCAAAAAGCTTCACGCGATACTTCATTATCCATCCATGTGTCCAATCTAGTTTCAGGAACTAGGTTGTTTAAACAAAAAGGATTCGTTCCGGTGACGATGAAAAACGCTGTGCCGACGAAATTCCGGCCCTTGGAAAGCGATATTTTTTTATGTACACAGAAAGCATTCCACATGTTTTTTGATTTTAGAACCCCCTGTTCGCTTACGATACAACTATGTACAGTCCCTTTATTATGTACACGCCTCGGAATACAAATAAAAGAAGCAATATTGCACTGGCGTATATTATGCGAAGTTTGGCATTCAGCAATGAATTGACATTAACGATATTAAGAAGGAAACGAAAATCGATCATAATACTAGAACTACCTATGTATGAATAAGTATAACATTTCTATGTATAAATCGAATAAAAAATCGTATAGCTAGTAAGAAAAGTGCTTGAAAGTTATCTTAAAAAGTACATTGCTTTGTGCCATAGATTTTACAGTAAAATATCGTTCATAGAAAATTCTAAAAACAGTATAGAACAGAATAAAGCTCCGATAACGAAGAACCGGTCATCGACTACTTTGGTAGTTCTAGTATCACCATTAAAACTAAAACGAAATGCCTACCTGAAATCGTATCCATCCATCACACACCTTCACTCACTCTCAATCGCCACTGACTCTTCTTTACGGTACATCGCTTTTTACACTTGTTTTTACAATGAACTACATATCCAAACATAAATGTCCATCATTATCTGTTAGTCCTTTTCAACTTTTCACTCGCTGGAGAACTGCGGAGGGGCTAGGATACGCGGTTGTCCTTTTCGTGGACGATTTGACTCGAGTCCTCGCGGTTCACACAGTCTCTGATCGCTTGCAGGATCACGCGAATCCGCCTGTCCAACGCTATCAGGTGTGGTTCCCACAGAACAGGTGCCACGGGGTCCGCTGCCATGCTTTTTCGCAGTGCTGCGCTCAATGGCACTGGGCCGTTGTGAAATCTGCAACAGTATGAAGAAACAATTACGATTTAGGAATTTCTAAATTCAATTATGTAATTAGAATAAATACTGAGGATGCTGTAGAGGGTCTAGTCATCTTTTCAGAATGTTAGGCTTTACTATTAGAAATATATTAATTAATTATGTGTATATATGAGCCGTTATTTTTTTACAGTGGTATAAGTCTACTTTTCAAAAAAATGAGTTAATGGTATTTTTAGTAAGATATAGATATCCTCTCTTTATATTTATAATCATAGATTTAATGGAATACAATTTCTTGATAAAAGAAAGAGATACTTCCATATTTTATTTTACAATAAATCTTTTTTTATACTGAGTTAATGAAGAAAATTTCTTCATTCGATCAGTATAACGAAAAATGAATAAGATTGAGAAACAATTGCAATAGTAGAGGAGCACTGTGTAAAACAGAGGCGCGAAGTCGACGATGGGAAGCAAGACGACACGCGTCTTAGCGGCAGAGCGGCTCAGCAACTTCTAATTACGATAATTTGCATTTTTATTGAAAAATTCCTGTCGCCTCTGCTACTCGGCGCTTGCTGATCAATCCGACCGGACGGAATAAGGGTGCGAGGAGAGGGTCACGTTTTTTAATCTTTCGACTCGGCGACGACTTCCGCGTGCACGGATTTGCATGTTTATTAAAAACGATCGAGTTACCTTGATTCCGTGAATATTGAAAAACCAGGGATCCGGCAATTTTTCACCCTGCGTGCTGGGAAAGGGAGGTGGATACCTCGTAAAGAGGATTTCGACCGTCGTAAATTGCTAAGCCCTTCCTTCCTCAAAGTGCTTTGTACTCGACAGTCGATTATGATGTATTAGAGGAAAATATTAAATTATTCAATAAAATAATCACAATTAACGTATAACAAATAAACACGAATAATATAATCGAGGCTTATTTTCGTATATCTTTAATAAATATATTAAAAATATAGTATAGTAAAAATAAATATAGTATATAAGTAAGTACATTAAATAATAAATTTCTTCTAATACAAATATACAGGGTGATTTATCAAGTATTACCATCTTGATTTTCGTCGTTATACTAACGTACGTATTACTAACGTGAGTTAAGTCATTATGTCATTATGTAGAAAATTTGGGATCGGGAAAAATAATGCGTATGAATTTTAAAAAAATTTCACGTTCCTCTCGGACGTGGCTCGAGATTTCGAGACGCGAAGGCCGATAATGGAGGATCCGGGTCTTCCTCTCGCAGAATGGGCAATGAATAAAATATCGACTTAAGCAGACAGGTCGCGGATGCTATTTATAGCGCGTACGGGGTGGTCCATTTCACTTTTATGCCCGGGAATAGTAGTGCCTCTGACAGAGATCGAGTTTTCCATGTTCTATACATCATACAAAGCTGATTGACCATAACAAAAAGCGCTACAGTGTTTGAGGTAAGAAATATTCATGTGGTAATTAGAGAAGAATACTGGTTCACTTATTAATACATTTAATTACAGGCACAAATAACACGTTTATGTTAACTGCAAATTTATTTCGAACAAACCAAGAGAAGTGACTAAAGGCAATAATTCCCAGGATAATTTTTACTTATTCTGAGGGAGCACCCGGTACACTTGAACTTACACGTGCACGCGTATACTTAAGGGCGTATTTCCGGGAAGTACCGCGGATAAAAGGTATTTTTCTGGCTGGCCACTTCTCGGTGTCACAGGGGAACGTGGAAAAGCAAGCCGCTCGCCGTCGGGAGATGGATAAAAGACTTGAGCGAACAGCTTTTATACCATTTGAACGATTATCGTGATCCTTTTAATATTTACTTAATCGAAAGTCCTTCACAGTTTACCACTTACTGACTTTCGGCCGAAGGAGAGAGGTTCCATCAATTTTAGTATGAATTTATGCATTAGTAAAATCGATCTACTTGATCAATTAATATAATTAAATAAAATATAGATTCAAGATATTGTTCCATTAATAATAATTTCATCAATCAGTTGATATAAATAATTAAAATAAAGATTTAAGATACTGGCTTTATTTAACACAATTTATTCAATAAATTGTTATAGCCAAGTAATAAAGATTTAAAAAAAGCAAGGAATAATATTATTAAACATTCCGTCACATCGGGCGCTCTGTAGGGATTGGCCTTAATTGAGAAGAAGATAAAGATATATTTACTACGTTTGGTTAACCGGTCAGGAGGAGTGAATGAAAACGAAGTTATAATGAAAGAGAAGCAACCGTGACTGACGCGATCAAGCAGCCACAGGATGCAATTATCCTATAATATCTGGTTTAATGGAGAGCGTGTGGGCTTCTTTAATGCGACTACAACGACCGGCACGATTTCATTCAAGACACTCGAGATGACTGTCATTACTATACGCTAGCTGATGCCAAGCCAGGCTATCAGACTGTGTCGAAACTAATAATTCAACGTCTGCGATTTACCGTAATAGAAATCCAATTCTTAACATTGTAAAACACTACACTTTCTTGCAATATTTGTGATTCTTATAAAGTTTCTAATGCCAAGAACAAAACCGGAAGTAGCGTTTACGTAAAATGCATGATTTTGGGGAAAATTAAATAAATTAGGGAAATAGAGGTTTCTTATAAAAATTTCATCCGTTTTTACTGTTAATTCATCATTTTGACCAACGAGGCCAAATTATATATTCCATTTTTTGAATGAGATTTCGCAGACAATGAAGAATTTACGATCATCGAATTTTTGCTACGTTCCTGTCACGTTTGTCAGGAATTTGACTGTAAAGAAATGATTACGTTTGGGACAACTTTTTCACAGCACAAATAAAAACGTAATGTATTTCATACTGCATATCAAAATGAAGCTTAAAAAATTTGATTAACCGTAAAATGTCATAAAAACTTTTATATCAAATTGCACTATATAACACAACATCTTTTTGCCATATCACTGCGTAATTCTTATAGAATTTCTCATGCCAGAATCGAATCCGGAAGTGGAGAAACTCCACACATATCGTTTTTTAAAAACAGCGGTTTTATTATTACCAACAGTAATTACAGTTTTGATCATAAAATAAGAATGAGTCATGTTATGACTAATCTCAGGCGAGCAACCCTTGTTTCATTACAAGTTATGAGAATAATAATAGTTATGTAGCATTCGAAATATAGGAAAACCTATTGCTTAATTGAGAAAAAAAGCTGGAGCAGGATTACTGTCACTCTGGAGTCTAAAAGTTAGCCCAGAGAACGTGTTTCGACGGTGAGTAGCGATAAAAATAAATCGAGCTGCTCGGGCGAAGATTTAAATTTAAAGGAATCACGGGTTATCTCGGCGGACGCCGTGGAATCCTGCGGATCCGGGCTACGAACAATTCAATCTGCGGGCGTTCTATTTTTATCGAGACTGCGGCAGGTGTCGCGTACCGTGAAAGAAATACGCGCGCTGAAAATCTGCCAAAACCGGATACCATCGGCAGAGCCGATGTCCACTTCTGCCGATTCTAACTCGCCGATCCTCGAAACGTCGGCTTAAGCGCCGCTTTGAACAAATCCGTAAAACAACCAGCGCGACGCACGGCGCGGAGGTCTTTCCTCTTCCCGGGTTTTTCGCCCGCCCCGTTTTAAGTATGTGGATTTCATTTTTTGCTCTATTTCATGTCAATGTGTAGAAGAAATGGAAATACAGTCATTGGTTTTAAAATTCAGATATGAATTATATGAAATATGTCGATGTTAGTAAGAAATAAAATTTTGAACAAATTGCAAAAAGAAGACCAAATGCTAAAAAAATCTATTTATGTATGCAATTATTTTACTTGATTCTGATCGACGTATTAATATTGATGTTCTATACTTTTGATTTTATTGCTGCATATGTTATATTTAATACAACGATTATTTTTGATCTAATAATATAAATGATCACAGCACAGTTATAACACGGAGTGCACAATTAGAATTTGGAAACTGGAAGTTCGCGAACTGGGAGTAGAACACCGTAACGCGTGTCGAGGAAAATCCGCTCTGGTCGAATTTATCGCGACCGTAAAAAGCCCCCATCGCGTCCCGGTGAATCCGCGTCAAAGCGTGGATTCACGAGCGAAACCGCATCGCACCGAGCGCGGTGACGCTAGGCCAATTCTGGTAAAACGTTTTCACTCCGAAATCCGCCTTATCCAGCCCCCGTGCCTGTTTCGGCGGCTTGCGACTCGTAAAGTTTTCCCAGCCGGAGAGTTCAACCTTTTTCAAAATTCGCGAGTGCGAGGGGTCCCGCTGGTGGAAGCGGCAAGGATATTTATTCGAAACATGAATTTACTGGTTACTGATTAATCGACGTGTATAAAACTGACGTCAGAAGACGCTACGACTTTTATTTCTATTTTTTCTTAATTGTTTTTTAAAGAAGAAAATTATAGATTACTGTGACATAATGAAGGAAGTTGATACTACTAGAAAATAATGTCTATTTACTAAAGGAATACAAATAAATGTTTATAATCCTTTCTTTATAATCGTTCATTAGCGGACGATAAAAATTATAGACTGATAAATGTATAGTATAATAAAAGAAATAGATATTTCTCACGAATATTAATTATTGATGAAAGAAAAACAAAAAATTATTTATAATGGACTCACTTTAGAAGGGTACTCAGAGTGGTCTGCCTAATCATGCAGCACTGGAGGATGGGCGCCAGGATGGATATTTCGTCGTGAAAGGGTCTGCCGAATCCCCTGCCGTGGTCCAGGTGCAAAGCAAACGTATCGTTACCGAAGATCTTAAACGTTTCATAGTGATGCCTGTCCATATTTCCCATAAGGAAGTCTATGACTGCCATGTCCATCAAGTCCAGCAGCCTGCGGCCCTCGTGATACGGCGGAATCTCCTTCACCAGCGAGCAATAATCGGAATCTGAAATGGAATTACGTCGTCCAATAATACCCAAGAAGAATTGTTTAAATTTAAAACATTAAAAATATTGCGATTTAATATGGTTTGAAAAACGTTTTCCTGCACTCGGGAAATTTTTATATTTTTATATTTTGTAATGGATCGTATAAAGAAATTATGCATGGATTACGATGGCGTCGGTTTTTAATTTTGCAACAGAATGACTATTATAAATATTCAGGACGCACTGTAAAGTCCCTACGATCTTCAAAAATTTATACACGATACACTTTGATAACTGAAGATCAAATATGCATGAAAATAATGTAATTATTATAGACGCGAGCCAAATTTTTATTTCATCTGGCAAACTAATCAAATTCGTCGATTAAAAATCTTCTCGAAGCGAAGTATTCGACCGAAATAGATATCTGTAATTGAAGTGACTGATAAGAGGAAAATCTCACCGTGCTCCCACTGGGCCTTTTTCCTCTTGTGGTAGCTCCTACGCCAGGGGTGCCGCCACGCCTTCCTCGCGGCGAACGATTTGTCCGGCAGGAACGCGGCGAAGCTACCTTCGAGGGTGTCCGGATTTCCGCAGATCGCGTGCGCCGTGTCGCAGTAATAACTGCACTTGCCGTGGAAGCAGATATTGCCAGCCGGGCTGACGAAGAATGTCTTCAACAGCTCGCCGTCGGCGATCTGATAAATCTCCGTCGTCAGGTTCAACGTTCGACCGGTGACTGGCATCGCCCTGCGGAATCCCAGCAGCCTGGAACCATTTCATAATCGACTAGATCAGTAAACGTTACGATTTATCAAAATGAATAACAAATATGTTACAAGTTTGGCTAGTATATTAATATGAAATTAATCATTCGTATTAACACCCGGCTATTTATTAAAGACGATGAATAAATGCAATGCTTACTATGTAAATGTTAAAAGATTATAAAATGTAATAAGGGGATGCGATGAGCGAAATTCATTAAAGGAAAATGACAGGTATATTAAATTCATTGTCATTAAAAACAAGGGACTCGACAAGCATTTAATTAAAATTTATGTTCTCCAATATTATGAAGAAAGTTCTATTTTAATAATAAGTCACCTGTCCAAATGGAACGCTGCTATCTCCGCTGTGTGCCTCTCAAAATCGGTGAAGTAGAAATGATTTGGCAGCGTCTGCTGTTCCCGTGGAAACCTGAAACAAAATTAATAGAATTGCTAGCATATTATACAAGTTCTTATTTTATTTTATGAAATCTAGTTCGATTGACAATCGGGTATCATAATTTTCTTTTATTTATGTAGATACAATTATGTATTGTGATAAAATTCGCAGAGTGAAGATGAATAGGATAAAATGTTTCAGGTTTAATAAAAATATAGTGAATGTCCTAATTTTTACTCATACTCTATTACAATAATTGTCTCTATATAATATAATATTTTATATATGTATATAGTTGTTATGTGTTTACGTGTCAGCTTTCTTCTTTTCTGTTGTGTCCTTCTTAATTAATATCTCTCTTATCCTCTCTTAAGATTTCTCTCATCAATATTTCTATTTTCACCATTACTCCTACACAATTATATGTATACTCTAACGTTTCCGGCTCTTTCAGGCATATGCGACACTCGTATTCTTGTACTTTCTTCCAATATATACTCATCTATTCTTGATTTCGAGATCTAAATCTCGCCATCTCCTGCTCTCTTCCTTTGTATTCTTTTTTTCAAGAATTCCAACTTCTATTCTTTTCTAATTGTTTTGTATCTTGGGTTGTATCTGCTCTCTCATATTCTTTCGTATTGCTCTTGTATCTGCATATTTAAATCTTTCTGTGCTGCTGTTTCTGCTATGTTCTCTCCTCTTCTCCATTGCTCTAGTTCTTCTTCATCTATTTCTCTCTGACTTTAATATCTGGCTCTTATTTCTTTCCCATTTTGATTTGACCCTTATTGTTCCTTTCTGTCGATTTTCTTCTAACATTTTTTTATTATTGTTCCAGGTTTAATAAATTCTATAGATTTTTTATTTAACATGTTAACTGTTACATACATAATACTTTTGTTTTGCATCAATACGTCGTAGATTTTTAAAAGCACATTCGGTTCAATGCATCGGACACGGACAACCTTCTGTAAATAAGTCGTGTCCGGTACATTAAGTTAAATAAACGCACGTTCATATTCCTTTTATGAATACAGTTTTCAAGTAAAACAAACGTAAAACTCATAACAGTATACAGTAGTACCGTGGAAAACGTTTTTCACGAGTTTCCCATTCGACCCGCGGTACCCATGGGAAATAGCTTGTTTTCCCAGTAATATCTTCCCGTTCAAGGGCACCGCGTCGCGAGGATCCGTCGACGAGGTGGGAAACCTCGACGGGAGAGAACGGATAGGAGAAAGTGGTTTCTCGTCTTTCTTGACAATGTCTAATCGCCAGCCGACTAGGTTTCATTTTTCCGTGAGCCAACGTTTGCAGCAGAGCATAATTGAACTTTCCTCTTTATACGTTATAAGAATAGACGACAATTACTTCACGTGTCGACGCAAGTGACGCCTCTTAAAAAGTGAAATTAGATAATTTATCATTCATGCGAATTTTATTTATCATTCATAAAATGTTATGTAATTTTTTCAAGTGTTTGCATTATTTATGAGGGTACCGTGTACATACATAGCAAGAAATATTTACTGATGAGATCGTCGGATGCGAGAAGTCCAATTGACCTAATAGTGAAAGATACGATTTACTTTTAATTCGAGTATACAATTTTTATTATTGCAACTTTAGACGGAAATGTAAAATTTACATTTATGTAAAACTACCGAATCCCAGGCTGGAAACTGTTCCGAATTAAATCATGATAAAGGGAAAATTCCGTTTCCTATTTGTCAAAAAATATTTCCCCTGTTCAAGTCTAGGGCACGTACGGCTCTACAACGGTTTCGAAATCCAAAAGGAGACGATTTCCAGAGAAAACACACAGCGGGGAGGAGGAAGACAGAGGGAACAGTCGCTTCCTTTCTCTCCTGGTTCCATCGTCGAGCTCGACGGCGATAAATAAAAAAGTCGTCTCTGGAGAATCGTACACGTACGTGCGCGCCTCTTCTTGCGGAGGAACAAGAAAGAGCCCTGAATTCCGCCGATGTACACTGAACTCAACGGGAATGTAAATAATGGGGGAAAAGCACGACCGGTTCAATGCAATTATTCATGATCGAGTGCATGGCTGATAGAAGGGATCCGCCGTGGCTGTGAATTAAATCATTGGCAACAATAGTTACAGTAATAGCAGAGAAAATACGTTCGAATAAAATGACTAAACAACGCCTCGCTGTTAATGCTATTTTAAATATTCATAGTGATCCTTTGTATTTAAATGATTAAATCGCTGATTGATTCGCTTTGTATTATCACCTACTTCGGCATAATCAAATCTCTGGCATCGGAGGAGAAAAGGCGACGTGAAATTTTGTAAGGCAGCACCGAAGATTCCTCGGCCCGATCAAATATTTACCCGCTATCTTCGCGCGGATTTTACGAGGCGGCTGCCACGATCCATAACCGAGATATCTCGAATCGGAACCGTCCCTCGGAATTTTATTCGACTCCAGATCCGATTTAAACCCGCCTGATGCACTGCATTACACGTGGTACTTACTTGTGGATTCGCGCTTAAAATATTTAACTCCTCGCCGTCTCCTTGCAATGTTAAACGTCCAATTTAATATTCCACATAAAAAAATATTATATTTCGAGTTATAAAAAGAAGAATTATGGAGGATTATTGTATAAATAATTACTAATGAAGATTTCAATATTCCAGCTGAATGCATATTCAATATTGCATGCATATTCTCGTATTTATTTTGTATGTCTATCACATCGAAATAATAAAAGTAGTGAATAGGAATTAGAACGTTTACCTTATTTGAAGATAAGAATCAGTCGAGATGAAAATTCCTACTTCTCTATAAGAGAAACAATTTGGGAAAAAAGAGAACAAGATCCTAGAAAGCCTGGTACCTTATGGCCGAACTTTTCCAACCGGGCCAGGCTAATTAATACTACGGTCGCGCGGTAATTAGCGCGTAATTTGCATCTGATTAAAAGTTAACTGGCACCGCGAGGCCTCCGAAGCCCGTTCTGACCTTCCGACTCCATTCGCATAATTTTGTTTACCACCCCCGGTACCCCGGTGAAAGCGACGAATTTTCCACCGCGGTGCGCGAACGAGATAACCGGCATTTGCCTGGAATAATTGCTAGGAACTATGGACATTTAAGCATCTGACGTTTTATACTTAAGTAAGTGAAATGTAGGATCGAGGTAAATAATATTTGCTAAGATTTATTAGCAAAGGGTGATCTTCATTTCATTACTGAATCGTTTTTAAGGTTGTATGAACTCTTACATAAAAACAATGAGAAAGCCTTGAAATTTTAAGAATATATTTGATATTAAAATTATGCATTTAAAATAGCTTATGACCGAGGAAAACTGGTCGAACAATTTTATAAATTTTACTCCTTATCGTTATCATTTTTTCTAAAAGTTCATTGTTTCAAATGTTGGACACAGCTTTTTATTACATATCTTAAACTTTTGGCAGAGATCTTACAACCTTAATACAATTCTTTGAATATATTCACCAAATAACGATTAATAAAATTGCTGCCACTTTACCGAAAATTATTTCCGTATTAATTTATTTCCTCAAACGCAAGAACCCGTTCCTTTTCCCTCGATCAGAGTTTTCCGATCACAGAGTCTCGGTATAAACATTTCCGACCACTTCCGGACAATTTTCACGCGCGAACTGGTTTGCATTGCGCGTTGCATCGGGTCATGTGCGCGGTGCTTCGAGTGGTTTCCACGAAGTGGCCGGGAAAATCCGGGCCGGCTTTTCATTGGAATTCGCGGTACCGCGGCCTAACGCTAATTGCGGCCACGACTAATGATGTAGGTCGATGGTAATCATTGCCGCTTGATTGGCCGTCGAGTCCCGAACGAAATATGTCTGCCCGCTACTACTCTCGATTCGATAAATTAAACATATTCTGGTAAATTCGCTGCCGGCGGTAGTAAATATACAAAAACAAGAGAGGAAAAAATTAGAGGGAAATAGAATTATTGAAATAAATTGTATTTTGCATTCTGAACTGACAGACGTGGAGCAACATTATTGTTCATTTATTATTCATTCATTCATGAGAGATTCATCGACAGGAATAGCTAATGACAAAGTCTGCAGCTCGCAGATGAAAACTTTAAGGCACGCTCGAACGAAACGAAGGTTGAGAACTACACGAAGGGTCTAGCCGGATGAGACGGTTAAATCTGCTCTTGACTCAAATTCAACTCATGGAAGCACATTCGATAGAGTCAAGGATGGGCAGGATCAAACCTTTTTTCTGTATTTTGTATATTAAACGTCTCGTAACAAATCTGAAAAAATTCTATTTTCTTCGAACACTCCAGCGAATTTACTGTCGCGAATTGAATTTAAGTCAAAGGCCGATTAGACCTTTTGTCAGTGAGACGAGAGGGAGAAGAGGAAGGTGTTTTTAATAATGGACCTGGAGTACACGGAATTCGGACGCCCGGCCCGGATACGGAGTTGTCTAAGAAATTTAATAAAGCGAACTCTCTATGGAGCCGTGGGCAAACTTTTTATTTCCAATAAAC